AAGAGCACTAAAAGTTAATTTGGAGAAACATTACCTTAAAAAAATCGATTATAAAATCGAAAAATCCGATTTTTTCAAAATATATTCCAACATTTTTTTCAGGGATTTCTAAACGCTATTTTCTTAGACCTTGATTGCCCAACTATTTTACCAAATTTGTATCCCTTGCCGTTTCTAGAATGCCCACAGAGGCCTTCCTTATCTCGAACAAAGTGTATTACGAAAACATTATAATCGCTATTGTAATAGTGAGAGTCTAACGCTTCGCTTTTGGTTTCTACTGTTCATAATTCCAAATAAACGTTTCATATGAGAGCACTACGTGCCCAAAATTCCCCAAATTTGAGTTTCGTCTTCATTCTCAATAATATCACAAAAAATTTTAAGTTTTAAGTTTAAGTCGTTAAAGACTAATGAAACTTAAAGATTCTCATACAATTTGAAAGATTCCTGGACACTTTCAACGGCAGTCGGAAACTCATTGAGACTCTTAGGGACCCTTGCAGATTGTTAAACCCGAGATTAAACCTTTTAAGGATCCAACTCTAAAGCCTAAAAACCTCATAAAAATCATTTATAAGGGCCTGTGAACTGTTCGAGACTGTAGGCGACTCTTAAACGCCCTTAACCGCTCTTAAGGATCTACCTAATAAAACGCTTACACTTTTGAAAATTCTTAAAGGTTGACTAACACCCAAAAAACACAGAAGACCATTATATTTAGCCTTTTAGAACTTATTGATGACTCGTAAGAACTTCATCACGTGACTTGGCCATGAGGATTCAAGATGATTCAAGGAGATCAAACAGTATTTAAGGGAAGTTGTTCATTGGGAACCAAGAAAATATCCCTAACCGGGATCTAAAAAATTTCAAGAATCCCCCTTCCACCCCTGGTGGTATGTTTCTACCAAAAAATCCAAACATTTGATAGTGCTTTGTTAAAGTCTCGGTTAGTATGGAAGTTTTTTTGTATGTAATATTTCCATTGTAATTTGACGAATGCAAGCAATTTTTTTCCTGTAAGCATAAACATATTATTATTATTATTTATTATTTATTTATTATCCCTCTCTTGTTCTGGGCCCTCAACAGATTATTATTAAAGTATTACTAATGATTTCAGGACTTATATTATTATTCTTGGCCCTTTATTTTTAGAAGGGCGGGGGGCTGCTCTACCACCGCAACCCACTATACATTTACAAAATCCATGCCCGAACACAGATTCATGGTGATGATGATTATAGATAGGGCATAGGGAGAGGGTAATTGAATGTTCTTTTGCTGGGAGCTATTCCATTCTCCCAGCCCCCCCGGTGTTACATTCTCCCCCAAAACCGTCTGCCTCACTACTCTCATTACAGTTTTCTTTAAGACGCCATCGAACGAAGCCTCGGGGGATGCGCATCATGCAGAGTTTATTTATGAGGATACGAATGGTGTCATGATGGTTGTAGGGAAATTTTCCGAATCATAAATAATGATGATGAATGACACAAGGTCATCAAAAACGCACACAATTCTCATATGATGCGTTTGGACTTTATCTCAACGGAAATGGTGAAAAATAAATGATTTCAACCTATTTCATCAAATAGTAACAAAATTCTTCAAGCACCCCCCAAGATTTTATTGGTTCAAGTCTTAGAGCTATTAAACATCGAATGAAAAAAAAACGAAAGAATATTTCCAAAACTGTATAAGCCTCTGATAAACGGACTACAAAGAAAGTGTCTGCAGGACCGGAAGTGACAGGTGGGATACCGGCGAAAGTTTTGCAAGCCCGCTTCAAATGATCCTATTAAATTTAATTGTTACTAACATTATCAAGTCACGTAAAAGAATGCAGCCGAACAGCAGAGATGAAATATTAACAAAAATAAGTTATTCTTATATCTATCCTGCTATTTGGCCGTTAAAAGATTTATATAAGGTGTAACATCGGGTGCAATATTGCTTTACAAACAATGATCCAAAATAAACTCGCTCCTAAAATTTACAACGTTTACGATTCGTCTTTATTTTTTGCAACGCCCACTTAGAAGAATGAAATTGACGGCACTATCTAGATCTTAAAGAGCTCTTAAATGCTGGTGGAAGCCTTAAAGATCTCTTCCAGAAAGAAAAGCTTTAGAGACTCTTAAAGACTAAAACCTTTAAATGCTCAACCTATCAAGATTCTTGAAGATGATTAAAAACTCTTCGTAACACCCTTCAGGACTTTTGACGCTCTCCAAATGTCGCAAAAGCTCTTGAACGCTCGCCCATCAAACAGAGGAGATAGTAAGGTTGAATTACTACCCCATTTCGAAAAGAAAATACAACGTTGGTTAATCTAGAAAAAAAAAGTGGAAGGATAATTTGAAAGATTCGGAAAGCTTCTGTAAGGACTCTTGGAAGGTCTGTTTGCGATCGTTACGTTCAAACACTTTCTCGAACACTTTAGAAGACTCTTTGGAATCTCATGGGGGCTGTTGACGACTTTTAAATGCGAGTTTAAATGATTTGAATATTAAATACTTACGTACCCTTAAATGCTTTTAAACTTATATAGACGCGCTTAAAGGCATAGCAGGCTCCAAAAGCTAACAAAAAGCTGAGGATATCATTGAAAACAGAGAAAACATTTGAAGACCCTCAAGGGTCTCAAGAATTCGAGAAAGGCTCTTGAAAGCGTTTGAAGAGACTTTTAAAAACCAATTCTACGTCTTAAAGACTTTAAGGCTCGCAAACGCTTTTCAGGGTGCGTCTATGATATACTGTCAAAGCGTTACGATTTTTACAGGTTGTTAAAGGTGTTTAAAGACCTTAGCGTATCAAGAATAATTTTGAAATTCTTTGGAAGCTCGAAAAACCAGTTAGCGACTCTCCAAAACATTGACCGACCCCTACATTCATCGTTCGGATATTAAATGCCCTTAAAATTATTGCATGATTTTAAAGAAGATGCTTATTAAAGGCTCCAACAGCCTTTAAAAGGCTAGCTCTGGAAATCACGGAAATCCGGGCTGAAAATTCATGTAAACAAAACATTTAGTGGCTCATAAAAGTCTGAAATACTCTCGGAAATACCTTTAAAGATCAATAAAAAAAAACCTCTCAAATGGTTCACGCAACTTTTCTATCTTCTTTTGAGTATTAAAGAATCTAGAACGTAGAACTCTCCTTGAACGCTCTAAAAAAAAGTCTCAAGTCTTATAAACCCCCAGACGCGATATGTGAAGTTGTGAACTTTTACGTTATGATCCCAAAACTTTGGAAATAGAGCTCTTACTGGAGCGAGTACTGAAGCTTTAAGTTTTGAAACTTTAAAGCTCGATTATCGGTTGTGTAATAAAGGTAAATAGTGAAAACCCCTCGGAAAACCCCTTCCAAATTATGGATCATTTGACTCCTCGCCACATTTAAAAATTTGTGAGAGGTTCACACAGTTGCAACACTTATTTTTGCATAAATATTGGCTCATATAATCGACCGATTTTTGGTTTTTGTCAAAACCGAGGTCAAAGCACTCTTTTGTCCAGTTTTAGGGAGGTACATATTTTCGTTGGGACACCTTGTATACAAACAAGACTAACACTTTCCGTTTGTACATAAACGGAGACAACCGTTTGAAGAGCTTGTCAAATCTTTAATAAACGTCTTTAAAAGAATCTAGAAAGTTCTTCTAAAGGCTCGTAGATACTTTTAAAGACTCTAAAACATTTTAGACGGTTCTAGTCGATGCTCTAACAGTTTTCACAGATCTAAATCGAAACTTCTGAAAGGTTCTGAAGCTGTGGAAGTGTACGAAGGTGATCAGAAAAAAAGTACGATAGCGTTGTTGGAAAATGCGTATACATCTTTATTTTTAAATGGGTTGTGATTCGTGATGGAATCAAGACTCATTTCCCACAGTATAATGATTGTATACGACCCTAGCAAACAAACAATTTTCTGAATTGAAAAGAAACCAAGATACTAAAGAAACTCCACACCTCAACAAATTCGTCACAACTAAGTACAGAACAGTATGTTGGCAGTGGAAAAATGCAGGGAGAGTCATTAAATTTAACTTCCACTGCACAGATCAATTGCAGGAATCGCACTTCTGCGTTTTTGGCTAATTTTAGAACGGCGAATTTATTTTCACAAATTTTAAATGAAAAGGTGCAGACTTCGCGCGCGTTTTTCTCGTAGTCGCAATAACCGGTGGAACATCCTGTACGGGGAGAATACCTGTCAATTTCTCAACCATTAAGGAATCATTAATGAAAGCGTAGTAGGCCAGCTAAACTTAAATGAAAAAAAAAACTTTCAATTGTTTTTAAATGACTAGGTTAATTTACCCCACCACATGCGGCGTGTGTTCCGATTTTAAATGCCAACATACACGATGGTGTTTGTCGAATATTCACATCTGTCTAGATATTATGTAGCAATAACCCCGATACATTTAAAATTAAAAATAAATTAAATTACACGAGTCGACGCTGCCGACGCCAAGCCGTCTCTCGGAAACTAAACCGCAACACATTTTATTGTGATCTACATAATTTCGAAATCAATCCCGTCCTATTTTAAGAAAAAACGATTTAAATTGGCGACATTCCTCGAGGTTTTCCAACAGGAGACCGTTCTTATTTATAGAGGAGATTTTCTCCAGCAATTTTAATCAGTGATGAAGGAGACATTCACGGAAAAGTTGTAAATATTTTTAGACACAACAATCTAATATTTATGCGTTCTCTCGCATACTTTCCTAAGGATGGCAGCACATTCACCGATGTTTTTTAAACATAAAATTCCTTTTAGCTGATGCTTAATTAGACAAATCAATTTCTCAATTGCGATCGGAAAAAGTCACCGCGGAATTTGCAATGATCGCAAAAATGGGCGAGACAGCGGGTCTGCGCGTAATCTGAGGACGTGGGTAATTTATCGGACACGGGTGGTAAATATTCGCGAATGTTATTTGTCGATTTATAATAGATTGTGGAATGCAAAGTTGAACCTACCTGTCGCGCGGGTCGATCCACGTAGTTTTCTTTGAATTGTGGTCGATAAAGTACACTTTACCATCGTAATCTCGTGCAAAATCCCATCCGTCAGGCAATGGTATCTCCCCATTTCTTTTTCTTGGCATATTTCACTAGTTAATTATCCAAAATTCACAGCAACTAACACTCACACACACCACGAACTACTCGGCCATGTTGCATTGCATACCACATTATCATGAGCGGTTGCGAGTTGACGTCAGGCGGCCTCGGCCAATCGTAACACGTAACCTCGGGAAAGGAATGCGACTAGGAGTACTAACATAACCGAACGATGAAGTATATAACTTGGAACTCGTTTTATATTCTTGTCCTATCTTGGCCTATGCAACGCACATACAGCAGCATGTGATAATAGTAATACCGACTGTGGCCCAGCTGTCGAAACTAATCGTACGGATCGGGGCGGAATTCCTATACTTACATTCGAATACTACTACAAAGGGGGAAAAAAAGTCAACTACGAAACATAGCAGATGTAACTGTGTCGCATCAAACACAAGCATTGCTATGTGACTGTGGAATGCTTCAAGGTCCATCCCACATCCCACATTCCACAAAGTTTAACAACGCCTGCTAGTTCGCATATTTCTAGCGAGAGGGAAGACCGATCGCTCAATTTTCACCCGTTGTTCCCGTTATCAGATTACTCACATCTGTCAGTCTATGCGAATTCTAAATATTTACTTTACCTTCCACCCCGATTTATTTATCATCCTTTCCCAAAACAAATAATAGCGCCCAACCTCATTTTATATTTGTCAATAAACAAAGGAAATTTTTATATCGCGATTTATCAGTCTGTGGTCGGTGAGATAATTTGGGAAAATTTGCAAGACGTTGATAAATTTACATGACAATTTTTGCGATAATCCGTACAAAAAATGCGCTTGTGTGCTGTAGGCAACCACTTATGCGGCGGTGCATTGCCATTCAGTGTATACGGGATCAAAACGGCTATTTAATCTATTTTCGGGAACAAGATACGGATTGACAAAGATTATAATATAATCACAGATTTAAAATTATATTTAAATCTGATATAATACAGTTCCGCAATTTCATGAAAAAAACAAGTACCACGTCCAATAATCGATTTAGCTTTACGATAGGCACAAGGCACGCGTAAATTTATACCTAATCAATCCGAATAATTAATAATTCCCTACCTAACCATCTTCGCCCGCTCAATCCCATTATGTTCTCTGTGAAATGAATAATGATGAAGTATTATTATTGCCTGAAAAGCTGACAGAAGCGAAAGAAATCAGGATAGGTACTTTTGTTTTACTTTTGCAAAAGAGGTAAAACAAAATCTAAAAAATGTAATTTGGAAACATGATGAGATTTAATTATTCGAAGGTTGCTTGCAGAAAAAAAGTAATTTAATGTACCATAAACGTTATAGCCCCGCAATCGATTAGATTGTTGTATTTATGGGGAAATTTCCTTAAAAAAAGGTAAGCTTAAAACGAGAAGGATATTACTTTTAGAGAGCATGTTGCAAGATGAGTTACACATTATTTGTACTTTCGAAAATTTAAATAACAACCCTATAAATGCATAAGAGAGTTGCAATAGCATACCACTCAAACCATTCTACTTAGTATGAACGAACGAATTCCGATAAACAATCCTACGTAATCAAAACATAATAATTTTTAAACTAATGAAAAAACAATAATAAAAACTACATGCATAATTTTTATATTATATTTTCTAAACAATAAATACATGATCATGACTTGTTGAGACCATTTTTTCCATGGTAGGCTCTTCGACGTTTCGTCTCTAAACATTAATATTGAAGTTCCCACCGCCTAGATACGTCTTGCCATTTGTTTTTGTTCAGACCTACTGCTCGGAGTATCCGATATCCAGAATTTCAACTTTTTCTTTGTGAGAATCTTCTTCCGACACTATAGGTATGTTCGCCCAAAGAAGGTAACAATTACAAATCCCATTTTACCAAAATTGTCTAAAATAATCACGATTTTGACCAAAAAAATGGGTTCCAAATAACGTAAAAACTCGCGGGCTTAAAAGAGACATCATCCAGTAGAGTCTCGAAAATTTAAATTATTCATAAATGTAGTGATCCTACTGATAGGTGGTTTGCTGCACGGTTCATTAGTAAATTAGTATAGTATATTAATTATATATTAATTGGCAGTCTCACCGCACACAGTTGTATGTTTCGTATAATTAGTACGACTCTGGCCCCCGAGTACACCTTACCCTAATCCCACTCTGTGTACCACTAAATTTCATTAGGTCTTTTTTCGCGTTATGTTGGCTTCACTCAATTTTGACATGTAGCTTAACCAAAAAAAACGTAAACAGCTGTTTAAAATGGAATTTGACACGTCAGAATTTTAATGTACTATACCTCTTTATCTTCTTTATTCTTTCAAAATGGAAACGTCCGACAGCGAATGTTTCGAAAGTGCAGATGAAGAAATTTACGCCGAAAATGAAAATAAAAAATCCAAGAAGGTAGCGGGTTCACCACCCTCGAAGGAAATTCCATGTGAAACTGAACACATCTCATATTTAAAAACTGAAGAAACCAAAAATGAACGGACCAATATTTTAGACAGTAATTTGCAGGTCGATGAAGATAAGCCTACAAAAATAGGATTAAGTAACACAAATGAGCCCGAGGTAATTACCGACAATAACACAAGCAACATTCAAGAGGAGGATGAAGTCAATATGTGGGATGAAGATGAAGATTGGGAACCTGTAGAAACAAAAACAGAGATAAAACCCAGTGAATCACCACCACTTACCATAAATAGGATATGGGGTTGGGATCTTTCTGCCATGCTAAATGCAGCGACAGTCGGTGTGACCGCTGTTACTACTCAAGTCTCTCAAGGACTATCAAACGTACTTGAAACCGGGATAGGTGCACCAGATCCAGCTGAACTTGCCAGACGTACAACGCAAGAAGAACATACACATGATGCCGAAATTACAGAACCCTCCACCAACTCGTCCACAAATCTCTTCGGGTTCGGTAATTTAGTATCGGGCGTTACACAAATTACAAAACTGGTGGAGACTACGGGTAATAAAGTGATATTGGGTGGTTTAGACACATTAGAAACTATTGGCAAGAAGACTATGCAAGTTTTGCAAGAAGGCGATCCCGGTTTGAAAAAGAAAAGAGCACTTCTAAAAATTGAGGGGGAGAAACCGGTGTTGTCCCACATCCTGCGGGAGGCAAAGGAGAAAGCCGAATTAGAGAACAGGTTTGTCTTATTTTTCGTTATTGACAGCAACCACAATTAATTCTGTCTTTTCTAATAAGGTTGCTTGAAGAGCAGCACTTTGCGCGGAAGGCCAACTATGAAAGCCTATTCGATGACCATCAGGGTTTAGTACACTTAGAAGCCTTAGAGATGCTCTCGAAGCAGTGTTCAATTAAATTAGAACGATTAATCGAATCTCAATCGGGAAGGGAGCTGGTAGAGCTACAAGAGACGATGAATCAAATAGTGGAGTTGTGCGAATTGGTTGATGATGATGACGAGCTTGAAGATGCATCCGAAATTAAAGAAAAATTAGACACTGCGGTGTCTGAGATGGTGATCAATATTTCATATGACAAAGTGTTAACGACAAGGAAAGAGGCAGAGCAGTGGTTGGATAATTTACATTTAGGGGTGTGTTCGGAATTGGAGTTACATGAGCAAGCTATTGATACGTTGGCACAATTAACAGCACTGGCAGTAGAACGTTATCACAAAATCGGCGAGCTATTATTGATTAAAGAGCACAGAAGCACTGCAGATGAAGCTGATAGCCTTGTTCAGTGAGTATACTGTCACAGCTCGGGTCAGGGTTAAGATGATTTAAATCCGAATTTAAAAGCTGACTGAACAAATAACATATTTTTCGTACTTCCGAGACTAAAGTGACAACTTTACTCCATTATGACAAGTACTGAAGTGTCACTTTTTGTCTCGCCGGGATTAAATTTTACGAAAATCCCGGAAGGATGAAATTACTAACAAAGCAATTTCAGTAGGTTGTTCCACATTTTGTATGCGGCACTACTTCTTAAACGCATCGTACTGCTGTTCATATAGTTTTTGGATTTCGGTGGTATCAATTCTTTACCTACTTTGGTTGCTTTTTATCAATATCAAATACACGTTTGTCACCCACCACCAAAATTATGACACTAGCAATGACAGTTCCTATGGTAACTTGTTGGGCAGCGATTTTTTGAAAGAACGCGTTCTCTAACTCCATACATATTAAGTGTTTCAGTTTCGGAAGTACGAAAAATATCGTATATACCTTGCGACTGAAGTAGTGGTCTTAATCTCTCACTCTCCCTTCGGTCGGGCCATAAACTTTACCTTCGGGATTAAAAGTACTACTTCAGTCCCGTGGTATATAATATACTATTTTAAAAGTTGCATAATAAAAAACTATAAAACAACTAAAAAGTCACATTGGCAAGTAAAGGTAATCATTTTCATAATAATTGATAATAAAGCAAACTTGCAATATTTGTTTAATGAATTTAAACACTCACTTTAAGAAGATATGTTATTTAATATAATAAAATGTTCACTGATACTATTTAAATTAAAAAAATAGGATTTCAATTATTATCAACACTGATTTCCGTATTTTCATTTGCAGAGTGACCACGATTTTAACAGCATTAATCGGCAACATGGCAACTAAATTTTCAAACAAGTTAAGCGAGAAGTTATCAGATTCCACACACAAAGATCATATAAACACACTGATCACAAACGTATACTTCGAGGTAAAAGGATGTCGTTTATTTAACGTTAAATTTAATATTTCAATTTCAGTCGGCCAACAGCACGTCCTATCTGAAGAACGCTTTTCAGTTGTTGATTCCAGTTCTTCAAGTTGGAGCAATTTAAGTTTTTTTACTACATGTTAAATTATTGATTTTGTATATTATTAGTTTATAAAAGTTAATAAAACGATGCTACCAAGTTGCACTTTTACACTCTATATAGTTTTCGCAACCGGCACTATGGCTTCCCTCGTTTATTGCCGACCGGTGGTTTCTGTAGTTGGAAAGCATTGGAAGAAGAGGTGTTAAATAATGATGACGAGGTAGGTAGGGTGCTACCAAAAAGTGGCATGGTTGGTGCTGTTCCTATATTAAATCCAGTTGTTATGGGTGCCCCTAAAAACAAAATTCTGTTTTACTCCAAGCACATAAATAGTGGAAGCACAATTTTTTGAGAGCCATCACACATAATGCCGAGTGTAGTTTAAAAATACCTTTGAATATCAAATATAAGAAAAAAGCCGAAATATTCTTGTTAGAAAAAATTGCTCTTCGTGAATTCAAATAGCCAGAAGTGCATTGAGTGTGTGACAATTTCCAGTCTCACAACTTTACCTTAACTTGAATTTCACAGAATGAGCAAATGCCAACTCGCAGCGTGCATTACACTATTCCTTGTAAGTATTTTTTCGTTTGTCAGGACTGGCCAGTTCAAAGACTACTCTTAATTAAAAAATAAAATTTATGTGATAGAAGCTGACAGAAATATTAATTACATTAATTTTAATTAAGGGTGGTCTTGACTTAATTTTTTTAGACAACCCATGTAACGGATGCTTGTAAAATTTTTTAAGTTTTTGTAGATTTCAAATTATATTTGGCTAGAAGTGCGTATGGAAAGATTTTAGTCGATTCAGATTTCTGCCGAGTTTGAAGTGTCCAGTAAAGTTTTTAAACATTTTTTTTCCGGTGTAATTACGTTTTAAATATCTTGAAATTTTAGATGAGTTATTGGGTGTGGACTCTCTGTTTGGGCTAGTTAATGATTCGTACGTGATTTAAAAAAGGTCACTGATTAGGAGACGCAATCAATGCCAAGAAGAATATGTAATAAAACAGCGAGGTTAAAGATTATGATTTTGTTTATTTTCTGTAAATGGTTGGGAGTAATTACGGGCCATGTTGATAGTGACTATGCGAGACAATAAACGAACAAATTTGGTTTGAATTATAATCAGCCATGGAATTATTTCCATAAGATATACATTGTAAACTTCGAGGCAAAAATGTACTGTTGATTCCCAAATGAAATACTAAGTATTTAGTATCACTAGTTTTGTAATTTTATTCTTTATCGAGCGACGTAAAATTCCAATATAGCGTCCATTTAAAATAAGAAAGTTGATGTCAATATCTCGGAAACCTCCATTTTAAAAAATTTTTTTCTTTGCTCATTGAATTTATCCCATCGAATCTTGCAACTTTTATTTCTTTGTTACTAAAATATTTGAACTTCTTAAAAATGGAGAATTTAACCGAATCTGTAAGTATAAAAATACCAAAGATAGCCATGCTATCCTATTCAATTTAAGACACCCTGTATAGCTAGGGCTAATATGTAGTAGTTCAGTAGAAGACAAGGTAGAGTTTAAATGTTTCGTTGCAACAATAATAAATAACATAATATACAAAAATTTGGCTTCAAATCAGAATGCCTGCCAATATTTACTTCTGTGGTCCAAAATCGTCAGTAAGTAGAAAACACAGCAACATCTACAATAAGAGTTTAAAGCAAAAAACAAGACTGAAAGCAGCCAAAACAGATGGAAGAAACTAAAACAAATAAATTGATGAGCATAATTTGTTCTGTACATATCTCTTTATTGCTTGACAAGTGTAGGTCTTATTGAAAGATCATTTGCGTATCAACTCACTCCCCCTCTTACCTAAAGTTGTCGTCGTGGGAAGACTCGAGGAAAAATTTTGCGCCAGTGTCTGAACTTGAGAGCTTCCGAGTAAATTAAAAGGCGTCGGACTCGAATTGTTGTGCATTTGCTGTTTGGTTAAATCGCCCAGAATTGTTTCCCATTCTTTCGACTGCTTAGGCCGTGTCTCGAACACGTTTGAATAATCGTTAAACAACGTCTTACGCATGTTCAGATATTGCTCTTTCTGCATTTCGACTTGGTTATGCACAGACTGTAACTGCCCAGCCAATGATACGAATGCTTCGTGAAGTCTGCGCATACCCAGCGCCAAATCTGAAACAAATTCATAGCATACAATAGCACATACTACTTCATGAGTATTTTGGAAATAGCAGGAAAGTTTTAAGAAAATTGTTCATATGTCTCACCTTGAGGGGTAAGTTTAGATGGATTCATCGTATTCTTTACATGCTTACTGACACTTTCAATTCGTAACTTTAGCTCGGTCATTTCCTTTTCGAAGCTATCCGATAATTCTATGAAGTACTCGAAGGGAGCAGTATTTTCGTACTGCAAGCCGGCGGGCGTATGAAAAGTTCTCTGTGCCATTTCCGCATTTTGTAAGCCTTTGGCCGTGTCAAGCTTAATCTTTTCCGCAATCGCCTTATTCTTTCGCATTTCGTTTTCCACCTCGTTCATGCAATTGTTGATTAAATCAACGTCGGCCTCCACCTTCCTCAATTCTTTGATGGACGACCGGGCGATCTCGGACGAAAAATTTTTCTGTTCTTGCACAAATTTTTTAAACTGCTCAACTGTTTGTAGTATTTCCTGAGGTAGAGGCTGTTCTTTTGGTGGAATTTGAGCCTGTGTGCTTGTTGTTGGTGTTGTGAGTTTTGGTGGGGTAGAGCTGATTCCCCCCAAGCCGACTGTACGCGCAGGAGGAGGTGGCTGTGGAGGTTGTGCTCCAATTCCAAAGGTTGAAGGCACACTTGCTGCAGTTGACTTCGCTATAGATATCCCACCAAGACCTACAAAACTTAGAACTTACTAAAGCTGGTAACTGGTAAAAAATTCCCAAATGAAGGGTTATCCACTACAGCATTCGGTGCACTATCAGGTAGTACTCGACGAATACATTTTCCTAACAAGCAGTACCACAATAGCTAGACACATTTTAAGGGTGTGGATAACCCCTCGACCCCACAATACTAACCGAACGATAGACCAGTGGATGCAGGCATAGAAGAAGCCACAACGGGAGTCCCAAAACTCAATGAAGCTGTGGTTGTAGGTGTAGTGGACGAAAATGTGGATGAAGTTGTTGAAGGTGCACTCAAAGGAAATGAGAGTGTAGGCGCCACAGCAATTGTAGTAGCTGGTAGAGATGTTGTTCCAAATGTAAGCGTTGCAGAAGCCTGAGGTGCGCTAGTTGTTGCAGCAGTGGAGATGGGCATTGCAAACGCTGTACCCAGTGAAGGTGGTGCAGTAGATGTGGGCTGAATGGAAAAACCTGAAGGTGCCGCAGTGGACGTTCCAAAGTTAAGTCCTGCGGATGTCGTTGTTGCAGTGGGTAGCGGGAAAGATAAACTAGTCGTGGGAACAGCTGAAAAACCCAAACCAACACCCTGCGATGTTGTAGGTGTTGCAAAAGTTAAACTTGCTGAAGCAGATGGTGCAAAACTTAATCCCGTTTGTGGTGCTGATTTAGGTGTGGAAAAATTTAAAGCTGTCGAGGCGGTTGAGATTTGTGGACTTCCTCCAAAATTCAAAGGTGTTGATGCGACAGATGGCCCAAATGACAACTTAGGAGTTGCGGCTGTGGATGTTAAACCAAAAGACAAACCAGCAGTTGTAATAGGAGTGGCACCAAAGGTTAATCCAGTTGAAGTTCCAAATGGCATTTTTGGTACTGTCGGTTGTGAAATACCAAATGTTGAAGCAGCAGGTGGTGTAGGGGCCCCGAAATTTAAAGTTGCAGGTTGAGCTCCTAAACATACTCCTAAATACTCATCACAGAAAATCTCCTACCTACCAGAAGATGTAACTGACGCTGAAGGAATAGTAAACATACCACTTGTGGGTGCTGAAGTAAATGGTGACTTAGCAGCGCCCAAACCAAAACTTGGTGTAGCAGTTGTTGGTGTTTGAAACAAACTACTCTGCGTTGTTGGTTGAGAAAATAATCCAGGTGTTGGTCCTCCAAAACTGTAGGCAGGTGCTGGTGTGCTAAACCCAAAAGACGGTGCAGCAGCAGTGGTAACGGTTGCTTGAGATGACGGCGAATTAAAATTGAAACTTGTTCCGAACGCTGGGGTTGAAGTTGGTGTACTGAATTGAAGCGATCCGCTTGGTTTACCACCAAACGTCGATGAAAACTGTGGAGAAGCAACAGTATTGGATCCGGGTGCACCCAGTTGAAATGATGATGATCCGAATGATGTTTGACCAAACTGTGGCGTTTCGTTAGGCCTGAAAAATATTATTTCAACGAATGGAGAAGAAAGGTGGTGGCATTACTTTTGACCAAATGAAAATCCTGACGACATTTCAAAATGGAATATTTTTCTAATTGTTTTGATATTTTCTGTAACTGATGAATTTCGTAAAATTGAGGTTAGATGTATATTTACCGTAGCGGTGTCTCACGTACCTACTTAGAATGATTTTTAATTACAGGGTGACGCAAAATCAATAACGATAGACTAAGGGAGGTCATAGTGTAGATTACACTATGGTGCGATATAACAATATTTTTTTACAGTTTTTCACTCCTTTTCTCTAAAGTGTTAATTAAACAATTTCACACATTACTTTGTATGAAACAGAGAACGTAGAACGCGAAAAGTGAAAACGGAAACTGCGTCTTTTTAGACTGGCGACCGCATCTTTCTGAAATAATAAAAAAAAGTTATTCCTAATAAAGTAACCGTCGTGATGTGTTTGTTGAGAAAAGCATTGTTTAAGTAGCAGAAAGTATTTCATATTTATTGTTGTATTAGGTTTGTATGTCATTTACTGTCTGTCTGTGCGAAAATACTCTACAAGTGAAATGGTTGGTCGGGATCAGATCAGGATCATTAAGAAAATAACTGTATTAATTTGGTGGTGAATAGATGCAAGTTTGCTAAGAGGGGAAGGGAGGAATTTGATTAGGCCCTATTGTACCAAGATGCTAATTGTACGCACTAAAATAATTAACGCTTTATTTTGCATATAAATGCAAAAACTTATGCGGAATAAGGTCGATTCTCACTTGCGCTGCACTCAGCTCAACGACGCGACGCGATGAAGCGCTAAAAAGATTTCATTCGAAAACTTGTTTGTTTGTGGTGAACCGTTTTGTCTGTATCACATGTGTAACATAAACATGCAATTAATTGCAATTTTTTATTTGATATTATGAATGTGTGTGAAATACAGCTAGAAGGAAATTAGTCTTAAGAAATATCCAAAAAATGTGTGTGGTACAATATATGCAACCCACTAGGATTTATGAACGACAAATTTAGGCTTCAACTGAGTGCAATTTTCTCCAAAGAATTATTATGAATTAACTTCTTCATTAATTTCATTAAATTCGACCAATCAGTTTGGTGATTGTTTCAAATTCTTACCAATCCGATGATTTTTTAAGCGATTAAACGCTAGGTAGCTTTTTATCATCGATAAAAATGCCTGTAGGAATGCGTAAAATATATAGTGGTTGTAAAATTTACTGTCTTTTATTAATCTCGCTAAAATACACTCGATCTTGGTTTTAAATCAGAATAATTTTATTTTTAATTCACTCAAATTTTGTTGCTTCCTGGAAAAAACTCTCGATCAAAAGCACATGATAAAATTGGTCCAGCTAAAGCTGTCGCGTTTTTATCACACTTTTGATCTCTAGTTTTTTCCGCTTCAACAAAACTTTCGTGTAAAAATAAAATTATCCGATTAAAAATCAACCTCTTGTGTATTATTTACCCCCGATAAAAACCTGGTTTCAGAATTACCTTAACATCATCTTATTGCATTTTTAGAATTCGTGTAGAATTTACTTAGAATCCTTGAAATTTTTCTTTTTCTCAAATTTTTAGAACCTATTTTACCTCGTATTTTACTGATAAAGGGATAACGAAAGGGGTAGAGTAAAGTTATTAGGGCCAATTGTACCAAAATAGTTTAATTTCAACCTTGGGCTCAATTCAGGTGACTGATGCCCAGTTGCACCAACAAAATTAAGCCTTGCTTAAAGTTAATAAGTCGACCTTAATCTATGGCAACGATTGTTAAGACAATCGTTGCTATGGCATTTAAGTTAGCGATATCATTGATTAAGCACCTTATGCTTATTCAATGGCGAGACTTGATTTGACGGTGCAATTGGCCATGAGAGGATGAGAAATTTGATTTCGACACCGCAGGGAGAGATCGCGTATTAGATAAGCCATCGCCAAGATCAAAAGAAGTTTAAACATTGTTAGCCATGCATTTACAAAAAAGTGGAGAATAAAGCAAAATCGATACATGTCAGCTTCACTTACAAAAGTGCTCAGCCCTTGCCTATCACGATCGAGGGGCATATATACTACCGTCGTCTTACATGGAAAAGAGATCTCTAAAGAAAACAAGAAGGAATGCCACTCAAGAAGTAACTTTACAAAAACTGTGGCCTAATCCATGAAAATTTTAAACATTTCACGATAAATGCCAAAAACAGTGAAACACCAGTTACAATCGTCGAAGCATACGCAACAGATATTTCAGGACTCATCACCATGATTGCCGATTTATTACCGTGAGACAACGAGAGAATTAGAGGAAAGATGCAAACGACTTGTAAAGGCATTATTGAATCTCTAACAAAATTCGTAGGTAGTGTACCTAATAACTGCTTGGAACCGAATCTAATAAGCTTCACTAATTTCCCATCAAACAAAAATAATTTTAATAGCCTGTATCCTTATCCGAATGCTTCCTTTGACCTCTAAACTAATCGAGAAATTATTATCTAGTGACAAATGGTCCAAATGCGGCCTATATCTGAACAGAGCCTGTATCGAGGGCTCGGAATGGAAACGCAAAGAAGAACTTTGCAATGTTTAAACCCCAATTGCGCGCAATTTTTTTTTGTGAACAGCGTAGAAAACTCAAACAGACATTAATACGCAAATAGCCACCTGAAATAATTTTCGAACATTCACCTGATCGTATATACCGGGTGGTGACTTGCGTAACGCTACATAGGGATTCAATGTAAAATTCATAACATGCGATAATTGGCTCCCAAAATTATTTTAGAGCAAAAATGTATTAAAGTTTTTGGTAGAAAAATTTTTTTTACGCCAAATCAACCGTATTACTTTTCAATTTTTCGCATATAAATAGGGAAAATTGGAAAAATAAAACCTGCATCTTTTTCAATAATCTGCGATGCCATGGAGTTTTCTAAAACAAAAATATATCCAGTTATCAATTAGCAGCAGTTCGAAATGGATTTTATGATCGACTTGGTTACTGTATTGCAGTTAGTGGTGACTTATTCGAACATTTATTTGTAAATTGTTATATTAGGAAACCGTTTTTAGTAATTTGGTCCTTCTTTATGTTGAATTCGCTGTTCTAAAAATAATATTTTTTGATAGAATTTGATTTGTTTTATAGCAGACATTCCATGGCATGATGGATATTGGCGTAGTTTTTGTATTATAAAATTCCATGGCATCACAGATTATTGAAAAAGATGGGGGTTTATTTTTCTAATTTTCCGTCTTTATTATGCAAAAAATTGAAAACTAATACGGTTGATTGACGTAAAAAATTTTTTCCTACAAAAAACCTGAATACATTTTCGTTCTAAAATAATTTAGGGAACTAGATGCAAATCTTGGCTTGAGCATGGATCCGTGAACCTTAGTCTTTTTCCCAGTAAAATTAGTCTACAAATACTTATTTTGCCATCATTTGTTGATTAATATCATTTATCTGCGGTTTTCGTGAATTATTCAGCAAATTTTTGGGCCCTTAGGTCTACAAGACCAAAGGTCGCAATAAGTTGTGTTACATCCATTTGTTACAAAGCATCTTTACAAAAAATACCATGTAAACACACGCTTGCGCATATAAATGATATGTTTGATCAATGCGAAGCTCGGCATGTTGTAGTAGTTGAAGCATGCAAGCTGTAGCAAACATAATGAACAGTTACACGAACGACAGATCGCTATTTGTATCCAATCAACGGAAGTCTAATTTACCACCCCATACGTTAAGGGGTCAGGAATGCTAGGAGTATTTAATTCACCCTCGTTTACGTTAGTGGTAACTGGTGTTCTTATAATACGCTTTCCATTCATTGCTACCAAAGAAAACTTTGAAACCTTAGATGTCTCCAAGTTATCAAAATTGGAACGTGGAACTGGTACGTTTGCAATTTCTCAATTTCGCACATTCTCCACAGAAAACTTTGCACAATTAATCTCTTTTGAACATATTTTGATATGAATCGCTACTATAAAAATATTTAATTCATCTTTATTAGTTCATCCGCAACGATTTAGCTTCAGAGTTTTGGTGCCAGGTACCAATATTAGATTTATTGCTTGGGTTCACGCACCTTATAAGTGTATAGGATTGGGGAAGCTTGCATGATATTATATTCCATAGCGTTTTAAGTTGTTTATTTTAAAACTCGATTATCTTTGTTTGACTAATACGGATTCTGCCTAAAAATGTTGACCTCGTTTTATGCTTGACTGCCTCGGCATTGTTACCGATGAATATGGTGCAAATAATGATAGCTATTTGTGGTTAGACAAATTAGTTTTAAACGCAATTTCTTTGATGCGCCACGCTTCAGGATATGACTAACTTTCATTAATCATAGACAAAATTCCTCCAGAGTTGCTCCAACATTAACAATCTTTCACCATAAGGTTTTATTTCACACAATGGGTATCTGTACGAAAAGAGGTGGTTCAAAACGTTTGGCTACTGGAATTCGTTTTGACCACTCCTTTTAAACTTGACCGTCACGGCGGCGGCGGCAAAGCCACAACAGATAGGATCTGATAGGAGTTTTCGTTTCGTTCCCAATAGCCAATAGACCATATCGTCTATAACAAGTAAAGGACCAACACTCCAAATTAGTACCACTGGATCTGCAGACTTAAAACATTCCACATTAATTATAGTTAATTTCAGAGTTGGTATTAATCGAGAGCGGCTATAATGAACAAAAAGCATATCGTTTGGAAGACTTCTTTTGGACCGGTTCGGGCGATGGTAGCATTGATGACAATAGAGATAGCGGAGATACTGCACGCCCTACTACTATCTATAAAACTAAAACCGTCCTTTCTACCATGTACGTGCCAACAACTACAACTTACTACAACCCAGTAAGTCTCTACGGATTTCTTTCTATTTGCAACTCTTCAAACTCTTTGCGTTTGTTTCAGACCTATTCTGACACCACCACAAACTGTCCATATTGCGATACAACGATGACGCCGGATGGTGAAATCTCCCCAACGCCAACCTTTGACTCATATGAAGATTCGACTACAGACTATGTACCGGACGCAGACAGACAATTTTGGCTACTGACCGTGCTAAAAACAGATGGAAATAATCCGACCGTAAACGATTTGAAAAATGGTTTAGCGAATCTTTATAAAACCGCCTTCCAGAGGTAAGTTCCTGGCTTATGTCGGGCTGGAAATACCGTCTGACCAAAAGACGGTGACGGAATGAACTTAGTTTCCCCATTACTGCGTTTATTTTCTTAATACATTACAGGCAACAAGAACGCCACTTAGGTATAAACGCTCGTTTGAAAAGGGCAGTTTCCAACCCCGACAAACCGGTGAGTGTCTACATAATCAAAATTTCGAAATCCCCAATTAATGGAGACGAAAAGATGGAAGTACTGTACCACGTGTCCGTTTCCGGTCAACCTGTTGCAGCGACGACCGCAGCTGCAGACATGCACCTGGTATCAGACCAGGAAGTGGTCAACGAACTGGGTTATCCATTCATAATAAAAGCCGAACGTAAGTACCCATCACTACTAATTCGTACCATTCATGTCACTTCCCCGATTTTTCAGCGTATCTAAAAGTAAACGACCCCGAGTATTTGTCAAGCACGAATCACACTTGGATTTTCATCGGGGTCGCTTTATCGATACTTCTCGTCCTTCTTCTATTGGTTGCTTTCCTAACTTTGGCGATGAACAAAAGAAATCCGGCGCAAATGCCAAACAAAAGCGACATGTTCCAACAGAACGTAGCCATTGGACAGACGAACGAAGCGTTCATTCAAAATGACACCGACACCTCTAAAAGATTGGAACAGTCCCCTACGTACATTAACTTTAGAACGCATTCGTCAAACGCGACTTTAAGAAGTGGGGTAATCGTAAGCAGACCCAGTTCAACTAGTTCAAGCTCTCTGAGTGGCGCAAGCTTAGACATCTCTCCTCTAATGAGTTTAAAAAAGCAATCCACCCCACCCAAGGCTCTAAACGCTGCCCGACCAAAAGCGGCATTGAATAAAACGGTACCTGCACAGGCGAGTATCGATAGTGATAGCGGAAGCGAAGCGTCACGAGGAGACTCAAAGATCGCGATTAAATATAAAAATGTTGACCCTGGTGTCATCAGTCCGAAATCTTATCTTTCAATGCCGTCCGTAAAGTCGTTCCCTAGGTGAGTTTAAGCTCAAATATCGTTTGCTATTATGGTTTTTGCAGAGGAAACAACCCGGAGCCTCTGAATAAGGTGTTGGAACCAATCAGTGTTCTACATTTAGATATAGACGACGAAGGGCTTGATGCACTCGACTCCGATCGAAGGTTGGATGGTCTGCTGACGCGCTATGGTAGTTTGAGCGTTGTGGAAGATCCGGGCGTTATAGGTCCTATCGTTTGGAGTGAGCATTGTAAAAGACTACAGCGAGGTTAGCGTGTCACTGTCTGGAATTATTTCACCTGGTTGTGTATTGTAGGTGTAAGTATGGATCAAGGTATGGACGATGGCAAGTTGAAGGGCAACTCTTCTAAAATGAGAAAGAGATTTCACGATTTGCTCGACGAGACATTTAGTTTGTTTGGCAGCCGACGTGACAGCCCGGTGGAGGAGGGGCGTCCAATTGCTTTTGAAGTTAAGAGCCATTCAGCCAATATGACTAGGTATGTTGAATTGGAACAGTCTTTCCGATTACAGAAAAAAATTGTAGACCTCCAGACGATGTTCAAGCGGATACACAGCGTAGACCCAAAACCACGGAACCCAGACGAGCTCTGGCTGCAAGTAAACCACCTAGAGGTGCGTGGGCGACAAACGCACCGTCGCCTTTGTCGAGACCACTTAGTGCCGGTCCCCTTCAGAGAAGACCTCCTCCACCGCGAGTCGATGTCGACCGTGTGTTAACCGAGGGCGCTTTGTCGCCGTCTGATCCAGCCGTTCCGCTCATTGCGGCCATCAAAACGCAGTTGGGAAGATGTTCTTTGCCAGGGAGCACGACGAATTTAGTAGGTTAATAGAATGGAAGGTGAACACAGCCCAAATTCTACATTTATGTGATCTTGCAACTGCCTCTGTACAGTAACTGTAGATAATTATGCATTAAAGTTAAGATTTTTATCGAACTGCGTAGTTGTTTTCAAACGTTGTAGGCTGATTCAAATTTGAGGGCCACCATGGAAACTGTAAGAGATAGGTAGGTAGCTTTGGGCTAGATAGCCGGAAGGTCGGGTGTTCGAACCTAGGCTGAGGTAAGAATTTTTCATCTGTGGCAGAGCTGGAAATTTCCTTATAACAGTTTCGAGCATTCGACCGGTTACTTCGAATTAGGTCGTAAGGTAAATAGGTACCGGAGTAGTATAGAACAACTTAAGACCTTTTGCAGGGGCACCTATAAAAAGCATTATGCATTCTGTAATTGGATGCAAGCCTGTTGAGGACCCTGAATAAGAGAGGGACAATAAGTAAATAAATAAATTTTGTGTGCGACTGGGCGAAGAATGGTGAATAAAATGTTATTCACTGATTGATGAGCAAGTTAAAATGTTCCCATATACCAATGAAGTTGAAATGAAGAGAACTAAAAGAGATAGAGTGATGCGGTTTGCTATTCTCGGAGTTACTTTTCCAAGCTACCTAGATCGACGATGTCAATTTTGAGATTATGACTTGCGCGAACGGTGCAAAAACGCAAAAGTCCAAAAATGCAATAAACAGTTTTTGCTTTATAAATTCCTTATTTTCTCTAATTAGAAAAATATATAGTTATCAGTAGGGGAAGGTGGGGAGGTTTGGGTCGTGGGAGGATTGGGTCACTGGGTTTATTTTCATGTATGGTACATGTATCCCGCTCATAGGTGCATTACTGGTTGCGGTACTAATAGGTGACATTGTAAACAGAGCCTCATGTTTGTCTACGCGTGTGTTTAGTTTATTGGGAAAATAAGTCAATTTCCAGGTAAGTTTCACTTAAATTACTGATATAAGTAGATCATTGTTTTGAGCTTGCATGTACCACGATGTGCTTGTGATTTTTTCTGTGATTTAAGTAACATTTAAGTTACAAATATAAACGACAAATTATAACCTAAAACATATTGCATAAATAAGAGAGGTGCACATTTGTGAATATTGAAGAGAGGGAGGTATGGGTCAGTAGCGCGCGGGAGATTTGAGTCGACCCAAACCTCCCCACTTTCTTTTAGTGAAACGTCTTATTTAATTTTCTTTACAGATTCAAAATGCCTCTAACTTATAAACAGAAAACTGACAGAGAAAGAAAAACTCCTGAGCAAATATCACAAGCTGTGCAACTTGTTCTTCAAAATAACATATCAGCTAGTGAAGAACTACCGGACTCGGACCTTTCCGAATACGATCCAGAAAATGACCGTGTGTCTGAAGATTTTGATCACTCTGCAAGTTGTTCTAGAGTTGGCGATTATGTAGTTGTTAAATTTACCACAAAACGAACATGTCTGCATTATGTTGGAAATATACAAAACGTAAACGAACAAGGATTTTATGTTATAAATTTTTTACGAAGGAAAACAAATTCAAACACATTTTATTACCCAGAGGAAACGGATATTTCAGAAGTTGATTTTAGCGATATAGTTCTGCGTTTGAGTCCTCCAAATAACATAGCTGGTACCAACAGAACGCAAAAATTTTGCAACTTTGATATTGACCTAAGTAGTTTTAAGAACCTGAACTAGATGTGTTAACGATTCATGGCCACATGATATTTTTTTTTTTGTTTTCAGAATTTGAATTTGTTGTGTTCTTATTTCTTTGTTTACTTTAACTTTGTATGCAATATATCCAATAAAAATAGTTTTACTGTAAAAATATAAGCCCTTTTACACCTAAAACATCACAAATAGTAAGTGACCCATTTAACCCCATTACCTGACCCATACCTCCCTTTTTTTAAATTTTTTGTTTTTTAATTTCGAAATTTTTTTTCTCAGTTTTTTAATAAAACCTGGCATAATTTTTGTACACAAAAAATAAGGTCTCTCCAATAACTTAATACAATTTTTTTAACTCATTCTTCTTCTTTAACTTTCACGAGATGGTTAGTTTCCCTTTATCGTCGTGTGATGTTGGGGATATTCGGATCCGCATCCGCAATTGCGGAACTTTCGCATCGATATTGGCATTCGCATCCGCATTCGAAGTTGTTAATGCGGATGCTGACGATTATTTCCGCAACCATATGAGGTTTTTTTAATTAAGATCCGCATTCGCATCCGCGGATGTGAGCTCTCAAAACTCCGCATCCGCAGATGTCAAAAATCTGCATTCGCAACATGTGTATAATACAAAACTTTATTTTATAGCAAAGGTCAAATAAATTATTGTAAAGCTTCTGACAATTCTGAATACAGAGACGTGAAAAGCTTAGGTTCTTTCGTCGCGATCGCTTTATCTACTCTTACGGTTAAAGAACGGTTTATAGCCTACTCATTCAAACCTATTAAAATGTCTGCAATTTAACATAAATGCTATAAAATAAATAAATAAAACCGCTTCGGTGATAGGTGGAAACGAAACCATATTAGAAAACGACTTAGTTATTGCTTTCAATTAAATCACGAGACTTACCACGAATATGACGAATGAATTAGAACGATTAATTATTAGAACACATTGATATCAATGAAATTTCATCCGATTTAAAGCAATACCAACCAGAATCTTATACCTTTGTAAAAAAAATGGTTAAATACTTATAAAGCCGGCTTAGTAAAACCATATAGTTAATTTAATAATAATTAATTATTTAGTCCGTTCTTTGACTAGACAAATGTTCACCTAGTCACCTACCAGACCTGATTCGCAAGACAATCGTCCCAAAACAGATCACCCACTCCTTTCAATTTGAAGACGCCACGAAATTATAGTTCGCCAATACCTGAAAAACCTACCCTTATTTTGTGTTAACTAATGCTTGTATTTAGACATACCTAAGGTGTTATACAAATTTTGAATTCAGACCGTAGACACCATAAACAATCCATTTCTCTTGAAGAAGTTTAAAAAAATTTTTGACGCACAAAGATGTTCTTTCCTAAAGGGAGGAGGAATTATGTCAGGCACTCTTTTTGCGAAATATGCCCACACACCCATTCTTCCTAATTATTGTGCCAGTAATTGACTAATTACTTCCCTTAGCCCAACACTTTTTTAAATTTTAACTAATGATAAAGACTGATTTCTTTTTTTACAAATTTAGGGTTAGTTAATGTAATAAGTAATTCATAAAGAGCGTCAAATTTCACATTAGTGAAATTTTCAATAAATGACGAAGATTATAAGTTTATAATTTATGAGTTTTTTGTACCTACAAACCTAATTATATTAAATATTTACTTTCTAGAGATCTATAACAGATTAACAATAAATTCCAGCATAATTTATTTGATTAAATAAATTCCATGGAAAATATTAATAAAAAAGGTAAGTTACTTTTTCTTGTAGGTGACTTACCTATAGGGAATGGAAAAGTTAGATTTCTTTATTATAGCCTAAAGGTTAATTATTTATCATTGCAAATTGTTTCTTGAGTCCAACAGTCGTGTTGAAGCAAAGTGGAGATGGCAAATGTTAAAAAAAAAACTTCCGGTAGGTATAGGTATACGTACACAAAGTGCAAATTATAATTTTAGATCAAGGTCCAGCCATTGAAATATATTCAGCATCACCCAAATGATTTCTACATACTTATACTTCTGTCATAAATTTTGATGAATATAAATTGATGAAAATTGAAGACAATTAACGAATTGCAATATGTATAGGGAAGAGGCAAAACGTTACCATCATGATATGCGTGGTAAGTAAAACCCACCTGCGAATTGACCATTTACTGTTTTCCTTTTCCTGGTCAGTCTGTCTTGAACGGTCACGAGCGATTAACGTTAAACAAGTTTTGACCGTAGTGATATTATGTACTTTATCGACGTAAACGTGATCATGTTATTGTTATTGTTAAATGTCGTTTTAATGTGTAGGTGCGCAAATGGTGACGATGACGATTTTATTATGTATCCCGAGGACGATTTCAGACATAGCAACCGTTATCATCATCCCCACGAGTCCACATTTCAACATAGTCCCGAATTTCATCGTAATCACCCCAATTTACCATATCCTGGGCACAGTTATCATTACCATCATAACAATCACCACCACCATCATTCCCATAATTTTCCCCCCGAAGAAAAAGTGAGCACCTCTAACTTATCTTCGGTGAGTTTACGCTATTATCCTACCTATATTACATTTTGTCACCATTACCAGTAGTGGGCTACTGTTCAGCAGGTCAAGAGAACCGGCTTTCTCCAAATCTTAGGTGGACATTACCGCTAATTACCCCGAAGTATTTTAACTATGTACCTGTGCACAGATTGTTTGCAGACACCAAATTCGACTGAGGGTAATACAACCGTTTCCGTCTATATTGCCGCGTTATTTGTCACTGTCTATTTATGACACATTTCTTTTGGACGTGATTAATTTTCCGGTTTTTATCATTTGGACAGACCGAGAGATTAGTAGGTACTTCATAATAACAAACGACGCTGCGCATTTTGATCAGCTTACTCTGGGGAACTACCTGTAATATTTTTTAGTTCATAAATTTGTGATATTTTAAGAACAAACATGACTCTCATCAAAATTAAATGCTTTTTTTCATCGGCGAATCCGGAAATCCTTTCACCTCAAGGTAACGCGATAATTGTTGAAAATGCAACCGCAATATCTTTTTCTTGAACCTATATCTTGTCATTGTTGTGTTAATCATAGATCAATCAAATAATTGTCTACACTGATAGCGCTGATTCGTGATCAATTTCATATATCTACTTACGGCATTGCATAGCTGTAGATACAGCAATTACATCAATCCAAATTCAAGGCTAAGGAGATTTAGCTACGTGCAAACTACAGTTAACATACCTACAAACTTGTGATAAAAGGCCTTAATTAACCATCGACCACATATTCCAAAAAAATAATATCCGTACGCCCGTCTGTCTGTCCAATGGCCAACTTCTCGAAGAGAATGTGACACTAAATATTTATTTATTGCGTAAACTCCAAGGTTATTTACATGTACTGTAAATTCAGATCTCATGTCACTTTGCACGTTTTAAATGTTAGACTAGGAAAGAGAGTTTTAAATAATCAATGTCACGTTGACATACTTTCTCGAGTCAGCTCAGAGGGATAGGTAGGTACTTAAATAATTCATCCAAGAAAACGAGATTGTCCAAAGGCGGTACGAAATTCGGGGGAGTTTGCTAGTAATGGATAAATTATGAAAAAAAACTTGTAGTAGACTTCCTATAGCTACACCATCATGGGCTTTTTAGCGTCTGTGGCCTAAATGACCTAAAAGGACGTTAACAAGCATACCGAACAATTATAAAGTAACGCAAGGATTATACGAACGCAACTTTATGAATAATGTCCAAAAGTCTAAACGTCTGTCCGGCCGTTCGTACGATAACTCAAAAATGCATGTTCAAATTTGGTACACAAATGGGTCATGACTTAGGGAAGCATACCCAAGATTCAAGAAGACACATTAGCAATGCAAATGGTATTTTGCCTCCAAAAAATTATTGCAAGAACGTGATCAGTATGTTTATAGAGTTGATACGCAGATGATTCCACTTGTTTTGGCAAATAATATAAAAATCTGGTTACATAAATTAATAAGTGAAGGCCGCGTAAATATATAGATAGATACTACCGAGAATTAACCATCTAAAATTTACATATTCGTAAAAAATATGATTGAAGAAGCAAACGAATTATCTCTGTGTGAAAGTTATAATCTCATACATTTTTAAGTAGTGAAATAGGAACTGAATTGGGAAAGAAAAATCGCATTAACTAAACTAAAGCAATGCATGCGTTCTGTAAAACTGGTACATTTGCAAATCTCTATAATGAATAGGAATTTTTCTTGAGGAAAAACACTATATTTTGAATGATATCTTTAATATTATACATATGGTCTCCAGTTAACTTAGGAGCTTTCATACATTACGAAATAATTTCCTTCCAAGAGCTTTCAATGGGCTCTATCCATGGCATCTAGTGGCCTTTACGAGTTCTAAAAGCTTTTGAACACCGATAAAAAACATTTACTTTAAGTGCATTTAATCGTGTTAAATATACTAAGGCCTCTAAAATCCAAAAGAGTATATACCAATTTTGTTTTGTAAACAAATATAAGAAAACAAAGTACTCACCAGTCACCGACATTCCCGTCCATTGCCCGAACTTCTCCGTTGATTTCGACATAAGATCATCCACCTAGAAACAGAAAAAGGGTCGTTATTTTACACTAAATTCAATATATTTTTTAAGCAAATAAGGGAAAACTTACCTGGATTTCTTCGTTGACTTTAACACGAGGACGTCCACGTAAAAACAGAGAATGGGGCATTATTTCCCTCTAAATTCAATATATTTTTTAAGCAAATAACTCAAAACTTGCCCGAATCTCTGTTGATTTCCACACGAAATCGTCCACCTAAAAACAGAGAAAGGGTCGTTATTTTACACTAAATTGAATATTTTTTAAGAAAATAAGGGAAACCTGCCTGAATTTCTCCGTTGATTTCAACACTAGTAGATCATCCACCTAAAAACAGAGAAAGGGGCATTATTTTATTCTAAATTCAATACTTTTTAAGCAAATAAAGGAAAACTTGCCCGCATTTCTGCGTTGACTTCAACACGAGACCATCCCCCTAAAAACAGAGAAAGGGTCGTTATTTTACACTAAATTCAATACATTTTTTACGCAAATAAATGAAAACTTGCCTGAATTTCTTCGAGATTTCTCGTTGACTTCAACACGAGGGCATCCACCTACAAACAGAGAAAGGGTCGTTATTTTACACTAAATTCAATATACTTTTTATGCAAATAAAGGAAAACTTGCCTGAATTTCTTCGCTAACTTCAACACGAGACCATCCCCCTAAAAACATAGAAAGGGTCGTTATTTTACACTAAATTCAATACATTTTTTAAGAAAATAAGGGAAAACTTGCCTGGATTTCTTCACTAACTTCAACACGAGGGCATCCACCTACAAACAGAGAAAGGGTCGATATTTTACACTAAATTCAATATATTTTTTATGCAAATAAAGGAAAACTTGCCTGAATTTCTTCGCTAACTTCAACACGAGACCATCCCCCTAAAAACATAGAAAGGGTCGTTATTTTACACTAAATTCAATACATTTTTTAAGCAAATAAAGGAAAACTTGCCTATTTCTTCCATGACTTTTTAAGGGTCGAAAATAAGGGAAAACTTGCCTGGATTTCTTCGCTGACTTCAACACGAGGGCATCCACCTACAAACAGAGAAAGGGTCGTTATTTTACACTAAATTCAATACATTTTTTATGCAAATAAAGGAAAACTTGCCTGAATTTCTTCGCTAACTTCAACACGAGACCATCCCCCTAAAAACATAGAAAGGGTCGTTATTTTACACTAAATTCAATACATTTTTTAAGCAAATAAAGGAAAACTTCCGAATTTCTTCGTTGACTTCAACACTAGACCATCCCCCTAAAAACAGAGAAAGGGTCGTTATTTTACACTAAATTCAATACATTTTTTAAGTAAATAAGGGAAAACTTGCCTGGATTTCTTCGCTGACTTCAACACGAGGGCATCCACCTACAAACAGAGAAAGGGTCGTTATTTTACACTAAATTGAATACATTTTTTACGCAAATAAGGGAAAACTTGCCTGAATTTCTTCGCTGACTTCAACACGAGACCATCCCCCTAAAAACAGAGAAAGGGTCGTTATTTTACACTAAATTCAATACATTTTTTAAGTAAATAAGGGAAAACTTGCCTGGATTTCTTCGCTGACTTCAACACGAGGGCATCCACCTACAAACAGAGAAAGGGTCGTTATTTTACACTAAATTGAATACATTTTTTACGCAAATAAGGGAAAACTTGCCTGGATTTCTTCGTTGACTTCAACACTAGGACGTTCACCTAAATTCAATATATTTTTTAAGCAAATAAGGGAAAACTTTCCTGAATCTCCACATGAAATCGTCCACCTAAAAACAGAGAAAGGGTCGTTATTTTTCACTAAATTGAATATTTTCCGAGCAAATAAGGGATAACTTGCCTGAATTTCTTCGCTGATAGAGAGCATCCACCGAGGCATCCACATAAAAACAGAGAAAGGGTCGTTATTTATTAGGAAATTTCCTATAGTTGTTATGTTTGCGAACTATGTACGTTTTTCTAAGAATTTCCGGAATGATTCTTGAAATCCTTTTTTTTTAATTTTCTCTTCAAAATCCTATTATTCCTATTGGTGTGGTACTTCTAGTAATCGACAAGAAGCATGTTAGAGATCTTTCTAAGAAATTCATTAGAAACTGTTTGCAATTGTCTGTTCTAAAGACGTTTTTTTCATTTTCAATGTGGAAAGACTTAGGTTTCGAATTCTTTTGATGCCTTTGAACAGAAGCTATTTAAAAATTCTCTTCAAGAACAATCGGTACACAGAAGCTAATTTATGTAAACTGTGGGGAATCTTTGAGCCACCGTTTGGAAAAACTCACGCATTTTATAAGCTGTATCCCATAAAGGATGGAATAGTTTTTTTGCGTTAGTTTCTGAAGCATTTGAAAATAAACCTCAATAACAGGGGCGAAAATACGCTAAAAATCCGCTTCCGAATAAAAGATATTACATTCCCCATAGATAAGGGTTTGCTTGATAATAGTAACTAGTTTTAATTGAGAAGCAGGAAGCTTGTTTAAGTACAGCATTCGCAAGATGAAAACAAAACATCGCGATGACCCAAAATGCAGATCTAAGAAAATGAAAGTAGGTACAGCATTTTTCGTGGTAAAATAAACTGCATATCCGATCCACCTATACTGAATATTAGTCTGATTTTTATACATAGATACATATATCTCCATGCCTTAATTAGTACCTACCTACGCAGTTATACAGAAAAAGTCGGTCAGACAGCAGACTGCTTGCTGGCCTCTACTTATGACACTCTAATAAAATTGTCTATTGGCGCAGTAAATTATTTGTGGCCATGTTCGTTGAACTACAAAAATTCTGCTGCATCAGATACGCTGGTACTGAGGTTCTAATATATTCATTGACACCGTGCAAAAACCCAGATTTAGAATCGTGCTTAATTATTCTAAAATGCAAAACGTTACCTACCTAAAATAACTTCTGAGGTAGAAGATTAAGTGCAAACTGATCAGGAATATATTTTGGTTTTTTTCCTACGCATTTATAGGTGTGAATAGGACCGTGCCTACTTACCTACTCTACTGATTATATAACTACCCATTTAACAACTACTATCCGCCTTAAGCAATGCATAAGTAAATGAACATTAAATAAACATTAAAATGCTAAAAGCTATAACTCCTCATCCTCGTACCTACACGTATTCTACCAGACTATATTTAATGACTACAACTAGTACCTAGGTACAACCGACATACTAATTACACGGGGAGTACCTATATCTATCTACTAAATAAGTAGTTCTCTTTTCTCTAACCATTTTTTAACTTTCCAAGAGCCAATGACGCATATACTTACCATGTCCGTTTTTAATAGATTAGAAAATTGAGTTTTTCAGGAAAAATTCACGCTGTTTTAGAAGTTCTATTAATAGTTTATGATGTGTTTATCGGTCGGGAATAAATGTTTATAATTTGACTACAATTGATGCATAGTTCACAAGAATTACGTCGGTAGGTATGGGATTAATTTCACTGTTTATTTGGGATTTTTTGTATTCGATAACGAAAAGCGGTTTTATGGTGTCACCGTGAAATTGTTATTTTTATGAAATTACGCGATTTGTTTGCATATACCTATTTGATGGTAGATAACATTAAATTGATGTAATGTCACATGCGACAAGTACAAGTACAAACTACAAATTGAGCAGAAGCATTTAATGGTCAATTAGATTAGACATCAATTTCGCCAGGAGGTAGGTACCTATACTAATTTATACTGTGCCTATAGTCGTGCCTCCATTAGTTAGGTAAATGTCAATTTCAAAATAAATACAATTTCGCCAGGAGGTAGGTACCTATACTAATTTATACTGTGCCTATAGTCGTGCCTCCATTAGTTAGGTAAATGTCAATTTCAAAATAAATTTTGTTCTACAATCCCCCCCCCCCCCCACAAACTTCCATTCCACAACGCGAGTTGTCACTTACAAGACGCATCCCTGCTTTTTTCCACCCCCACGTTAGTAAGGGAGATATTGCACTGGAGTAAACAGTTGAAAAGCTTTTGGGCAGAACCCATGTGCGGATGGTATCTGTGCTAACCACAGCAAATTAACTTAAGGCACCAGAAATTAGAAATACCTATACATTTTTGGCGATAATGAACTTCTTCTATAAAAATGAAGCACTGGCGTACGGTAAGAAAAACAAGATGCATCTACATCGCATCAATTAAATTTGCCTTGCCTAAAACCGTGAGCCAACTATTCTGTGAAATAGGGAATACTGAGCCAACTATTGTAGAAATTTCCGAGTCTGACATTTACCAGCCCTCAGAGACTAGAACGAATAGCAGCACAAACCATGCAGCGAAAATAAATAAACAAGAAGAATTTGGACGGATGTTTATGGGTATAATTGAAAAACAAGTTGTAAATCACCATATGCCTGAGAAAAGCGCATTGTTAGTAATACATTATTCGCCCCTTCAACAAAATGCTGGAATCACAGCGGTCTCGCGTGACTCATTAATACCAATTCATTATTGTAATAAATAAAGTATCAAATAATTAAATCACCCGAATCAAACAGTTTCACATACAAACAAATGTAAATGCACCTATATATAGTGTTGCGAATATTCCAGAAATCCCGATAGACATCGAGGCGCCATGAAAGATTAGTGACCGGCGATAAAGAACGAAGGCGAATGTGACGCCATCTTTCCGGGAAATATTACGTGTTTGTTCGAGAACATTCTAGAATACGCGGAAGCGTCTGAAAACTTTCGAGAAAAAGTTTGCTATATAAGCAAATCGAATTGCGTTGCCGTCAGTTCCGATTTCAACGCAGAAGTAATAAATAGTTTGCGCTGTTATAAATTGTGTAAGTATATGTGAGTAATAAATAATATTTTAACTGTTATAAATAATTCATTTTATGGCTGTTATAAATTTATTGTTAAATAAATAAACCACGTAGTAAAATTTACGTTACCATAGTATTAACCCCAAGAGGATAGGTATAACTATAACCAAAGATTAGGTATTACGTTATATAGGTACTTTTTGCTATAACAGAAGTGAACATTTCAACAAGTTAAAAAAATACCTAATCATAAAAGATTTATACAAAAAGCGGATTTTCACTTGTATTCATTTCCCATTTGTAACTTCTGTTAAAATTTCGTAAAAATCCGGTCACAAATAAGAAAGTACCATTGCACATGTGCAATCCATATTTGACATGCTAATTCAATTTCAGTGAATAAGCGAAGACTACGAAGAATCCTACCCTAAAATTTCAGGATTATTGTTTCGCGGGATGTGCAAAACAATTCTTTATGATTCGGCATTAGTTTGCCCGTTATTCGAGGTGCCAACATACGAGTACATTTTATTTAAATATCAATTTAAAAAATCAGATTGCGCATGTGCACATTTTTACTTTTATTCGAGGTGCGCACATACAAAATTTCATTGAAGTAGGTATTTAAACAAATAAAAAAATTGGATTCCGCAAATACAAAAGTTGCTTCACACGAACAGACAGCAACATAAATTATAAACGATCTAAAAATATAAACGTAAACGGCAAAAGGTAGTACATGAAAAAAATTGTAGTATGCGCGTATAAGTCATGTGCGAAAAAAGATGCAAAATTGTAAAATTTGCTGCATGAAGATGTTTTTTGCCGCAAATTTCTAACCACGTAACTTAGAAAGACCCCTTTCTTGGTGGGAGTCTCGCAACCGCGATGTTTATTAATTATTAGCGAATAAACCATGACGACAGTTTTTAAAGTCTGATAGTGTCCAAACTGCCATTACGAACAAACATATTTCTTTACTACATAATGTAGTTATTTACAGAGAAATTCAATGAATTAAAAAACATGAGTAGGTACTCTACAATTAGATGCCTATGCTACTTATCAGTTTGTCCATATATCAACATAGCCAATACCTTTTCGTAACAATGCTGGTAAAAATAAAAGTTAAAAACAGAAAATTAAAAAATTACCTATTAGAACTTTTTGATATGAAAATAATGACAACATTTTTTACTTTTCCAGATACCTTTAGAGTTTATTTTGAAATACAACAACTTCAATGAAGTAAACGACATCTTACACAACTTAGTCGAGGGAAATATCCAAGAAAAGAATGGACCAATTTTATTAGAAAGTAAGTATATATTTATTCACTTAGATATTATTCGCATAACAGAGTTAAACATATTATTACATAAACTATAAAATGTTTGTACATAATACATTTTTTGGCACTTACAATTAATCTGGTTCAGAACCTGCCTACCAATGGTGTGTTGCTTTTATTTCAATATATTGTAGGTACAACTTATCGTAAAAGGAACTGAGATCGAAATACGTACAACTTAAGTAATATAGGCTTTTGAGAATATGCAGCTGATCATTAACAGGAACTTATCAGCCTTTGTAAAAATGAGCCAATGGCTGGTGGCTTTAGAATAACCTGCTTACAAAATTTGCAATTAATCTGACAGTAGCCATATCCTTTATATTTTGTCAACTCTTGTAAATGTTGAGGAATTTGTAATGTTTTTGTTTGTGGTCAAGTGGGTTATGTTACAAATAAGCTACGAGACAAGACTATTTGCTAATTTTTTGATATACCAAAAATGTCTACTGTTTGCGATTGTTTTTGAAACTATATTTAACCAATATTGGTTCAAATTGCAATTCTCAAGCTGATTTTGGCACTTGATGGTATCAAGTAGGTATACGTATTACCTGGTATTAGTTTTAATGTACATGTAACAGATCCATTACAGGAATCGAACTGGGAGTTTTACAGCCTCTTTATATCTTTTACATAAAATGCCTCCCAGAGGCAAAATCTGAAACTTTTTTATATAACTCCTGTAAAAGAATGATACTCAATATAAAAAATAACTATCTCTATATAATCTTAATTATATAACAAAGTTAATTACAATTCAAGATATCGGTAGCTCATGTTTCCTTGGACCACATGCTAACTTGTTCCAGAAAATTATCATTGATACTAACCTTCAATATAAACAATTTGTTTTTATTAACATCAGATCTATATAAAATTAAAAAGATAATAACAATTGCACTAACATTTTACGTAACAAACATGCTTTGAACTGTTCAGAAATGTGAATTAAGGCTGCAAGTAAGTATAACAATTATGTGAGTAAATGGAATAAAAAAATAACGATCACATATAAATAAACAATCAATAATACCAATTATTCAGATCCTGGGTCGCACGCGTCAAAATCTTTCATAAGATTTCGACGGCATTTCAAATTTCCTTGATAGATCATCATATAAATTACACAATCTTCAAAGTTTGTCGCCGAATACGCCACTTCCAACTTGCATGGCCTATTCCACTTTGTTTCCGCCTGCAATTTTTTCGACGACCTTCTGTGAAATTCGATGTGGCCGTTTGAACTGATGTATTTCAATTCAGGTTTATCGGTGATTTGGTCGCCGTTATCTGCCTTGAATTTTTTCCTTGGAGATTCTGGACAGTTATTGTGGGGACCGTCACCTTGACCCTTCTCTATTAGGTGCGTCACTGGGGAGAAGGTTAACTTTGGCGAATTACTTTCAGAATCGCAAGGAGAGAAGTTGATAGGATTACGTTGTTTCGCCTCACTATAATGTGTCATTTTTATTAGTAGTATATTAGCAACGAAAATGGAGATCACACCCAGAATACAGAACAAGCAAGACAGCAGAGAAAAGTGCGGTTGGTGCCATGGTGGCAGAAGCATCAAACAGTTAATCTAAAAAGCGATTATCGATGATCAAGCAATTTACCATCTGAGAGCATTGTGTTAGGGAGTTAGCAAATTTGTTGCAATTGCCAAATCTAATAGAAAACAAGCGAGTCACCGTACCTTGGTAACTTAATGACATGGTTCTCCCGAAAGCCAATTTTTCGCACGGGGTTGGGGTTGGTAAATCTGTGCTTACACTTTCCCGCGTTATTTTTTAAATACGCCACTATATTTCTCGGACCTTTTATGGTGTGCCCAAACCAGTCCAATAGAGCCGTGTCGGCTAAATAGTAAACTAAGCACTCGCTGTGATTTTCCAAAAGATTGATTAGAAAATCACAGAACTTCTGCGCTTCTGCCACTTCTTCCTTTGTGAATGTCTCTGACGTTGACATTACTGTAAATAAACAAAAATTATACAAAACAGATAAAATGTGTAACATACAACATTATGAACTTTATTGCATCATTAAAAAGTCTAAAAAAATTTTAAAAACCGTTATTTTGGACACAAAATCACTTACACTAAGACAATAAAATAAGAAATAATTGTACCATAGGGGGTGTATAACTTTTTTTTAATGAAATATTGAATCACTTTTTTCTTTTGTTTCAGGTCGATTTGGAGACGAACGCAGTGAGTAATTGTTTAAAATTATTGCACTTTATTTATGAACAATATGCTAATAATTTTCTAGACGCTGCTGTGGTACCAAAAGCTGCAAACTGTATGCCGGAATTACAAACCGTCCAGATAGCACCCACAGACGATCCAAGTGTGATATATATACCATCATGCACCAGAATAGAACGATGCGCAGGATGTTGTACACATAGTTTACTATCATGCCAGCCCGTAGAAACGGAAACAGTTAGCTTTCAGGTAAACAATTTTGGAGGAGATAAGTTTTGAAACAAGTCACACCCATTTCTAGTGCAATATGTCTTGTTTCAGTTGTTCAAAACGCAATTCCAAGGGGGGTCCAAGCTGAAATTCATGAGCAAAGAAATTGTCACAGTGGAAAAACACACAAAATGCAAATGCAGTTGTAAGGTGCAAGCCAAGGTAAATATAGATGAATATTTCAAATAAAAATTGCCATCATTTCAGCACTGTAATAAATTCCAAGAATATCGTAGTAACGAGTGCAGCTGCTCGTGCACCAATCGAGACGAAGAGAAAAAATGCGACAAGGACAGTTCCCTTAAGCTGTGGAACCCCGAAATATGTGTATGTCAGTGCCGTAACATTGTCCAATGTTCGACCGGCTACCAGTTCGATACACTTAAATGCAGGTGTACGCAGATACTGCTTCGAAGGAGATACGCGGAGCTGAGTCCGAGCGAATCTAATCCCTCCAAGCCTCAACCATTACCAGTTTTACCTATGCAAGATGAGGAGGATGAAAAAAATTAATGCTTTATTAAATGTTAGTTGTAACATTGACACAAAGTAGAATAGTTTTAATTTTAAATGTACAATCCGAACTGTGGTATTTGAAATGATTAACCAGACATTAAATGATAATTGTAATTATTGGTCAATTGCACACTTACTAATACAAAGGGTTTTCCATGAATTGATCAGTACTTCCTGAAAGGTCATGCAATAATTTCGACATGCGCACGACTGATAGTCAATTGTACACCTAAAAACTTGTTCAGATTATAACGCTTCTCATACCACAAAACTTTAATACATTTTTCTCTAATTTCAACCATTTTGGCGTTATAAGCAGTCTACAGATGGTGAACCTACATTTATTAAATCAATTAATCAAGCTTAGTAAAACTATAAATTGCTGTTGAATTTGAGGCCGTTATATTCAGAAAACATTCTACACTAAAAATCCACACAAGAATTTTAAAGTTGGATTTTCCCAAAAAAATTACAAGTGGAGTTTCTGAGGCAACCCTGTTACCTCCTCAACCAATTAAATGTTCTTCAAAAAGTTCAGTGTACGAAAAAACTGTTTGTCCATTATCGGACAAGACTTGCCGACCACTGATATCCAGGAAACAAAAACAACCACTTCATCAATCAGTCAACCATGGCATTTTTGGGACCATTTCATTTAATGTTTTTAAATGCCATTTTTATAGTAAAAAAAGGCTACTCTGCCCTTATTCTCCTTTAAAAAAAGGCTGTCATAGTCTCGATTTTTAGAAGATTAAGATTTCAGTCAGTATAGACAAATTATTTACTTAAACCGACATTTTGAGAATAGCTAGCAGCTAAATCGATATTTCTGGTTTTACCACACAGTTTTTATTGGACACTTGTGGCCACCAGATGTTTGATAAAACAAGGTCACTAGGTTAATGGAGCATTTTCTATGATAGATACGTTTTTATTTCAATTTTTGAGATTCTTAAATCCTCATCAAGGACCTACATGCTTTAGATCCCCTTAGTAAGCTCCGAGTAGCTCACAGATAAAAGCGATTTAGTAGGCCATTGATATTTGTCACTTCATACAAAACTTTAACAATTTATACTTATATTGCTTTTGCCACTTTCACTTTGATTTAAATGTAACCAAAGTGAATTTTGTGAGAGGATCGTAACCACTAGTTCGAGTGTAAAAAAGGATACAAACAATTACGACATACTTGCCTCTTGTTATATATTATCATGTACTTTCGACCGTTAAGCACCCTAGGGCTTCTCCAGTAGATTTACAAAGAATCCTTTGTTAATGAACCTAAAAATACATTATGAGTAATGTACAAGTTTTTCGTGGTGTTTTCACGCTCGCAAAAAAACCTATTTACTTACAATTGTAGCGTGCAATTTATTGCAAACGCTGTCATGGTATTTTAAATAAAAGTTTACAACAAATATTTTATTGTACCTTTAAATGACGCCTTGCCAAAGTTGTTTATTAAATTTCTCCAGAACTACCAACACACGCTATTTCTCTCTATAAGCGTTACCAAAATGGCGTTGATGCTATCTTAGTGCGCTGAAATTGTAATAGATGGCGGTATTATTGGAATTAGTAGCGCAAAATTCACAAAGGACAAAAGTGCATTTTTGAATCCCACATTATGCCTTTTAATAATAATTGCATGCGCTTAGTGGTTTGGAACATTAATTTATTTATTATTGCCAATTTTTTCCAAAACTGAGCTGTTCACTTTTTCGTTCTGGATCTGAGAAGTTGAACAGTTTTCAATATGCCCTTTAAGTACCTAGCAATTACCATCAATAGCACAAATATGCAATTGATAATTACAAATCGTCTATAAGTTGTTTAACATTTGAATACCTAAAATAATCTAGAAATATATTAATTTAGACAAACAAAATTTAAATAAAAAAGACCAGCGATTTGGATGAAATTCAATATTTATTGTCTGTTATTCGCAATCGATTTCGGCCTAACTGGCCATCATCAGGCGTAGCTAAAATATTTGTAATTGTATATATATTGTAATTACAAATAATTTAGCTACGCCTGATGATGGCCAGTTAGGCCGAAATCGATTGATTGCGAATAACAGAAAGTAAATATTGAATTTCATCCAAATCGCTGGTCTTTATTATTTAAATAATGAAATTCAAAATAGAAGAGATCATTGACAAAAAACAAAATTTACATTCAAGCAAAGCATAAATATTGTACGAAAATAATTCATAAATAAATTTTTGTTTGCATTTGCGTCTGTCCTGGATTTTTCTCTGAAATGCCCCATTTCAAGCTTTTCCTTTGGATTTCCGCCATTGTCTTACTGGTTGCTAGAGTTCGTTATTCTCTCTTGGTAAATATTTATATTTTATATCATATAGCTTGTAATTTACCTTCTATTGTGCTTTTTTAATATCCAGCATTCGTTTGGTTAACCTAAAAAAATGGTTTAAATGTGTACTTAGTTTAATTTTCTGATTTCTTACGCTCCTATGGATGTATCGTTTATTTTCCCCCAATTTTGCCCTTTTTATCTATGCACACTAGCCTATAGAAGGTTAGAAGGTTGGATGGTACCAATAGACTGACTACTACTATCATAATTCTAAAATGCCCGAACAGCTATGCTCCATATATTATGGGTCTGTACATGATTCATAGGTACAACCAGGAAAAATCATTTAAGCTATAATATTTACTGCTAAACCTTCTGAAAGTACAATAGAAAGGATGATCGAAAGGCATATTAAGTATATACTGTGCTGGTCAGGGGGCCTTTAAGCATTTTAAAAAGGCATTTATTTTATAATCCATCAACCAATAAGATCATCATCATGGTCAGTCGAGATGCGACGTTTCTCGGCCCAAGAGCAGCTAGAATTTGTTGACGGTGGTGAGCATAAGTTCATTTGGGGCATCGAAATTGACAGAAGTCGAAGAAAGTCCCTAAATAGTCACTAGTTAACGCTATAAACACGAATCAATTGATTTCATCGAACACCAGATTAATGAAGCATCCGATGATGTCAATTACGAGTTCCCAGTGAATATCACTTACCCATCAGACGTTCGAGTCGACAAATGAGTCGCGTTGTTCGGAAAAGTTTCATATCGTACTTTACACGTAACTGCGATATGGAAGATCCCTTTACTCATGAGGAAGCTCTTCTGTCACACGATAGTCAACAATGATTGGAGCCATTCGCAATGAACGGGACTTGGGCGCTGGTGGATCTCCCACCGGGAAGAACATCCGTGAAAACCAAATGGGTCTTCAAACAAAAACGAGTCGAAGATGGTACTGTCGTGCGACACAAAGCTCGCCTAGTGGCGAAGCGATGGTCACAGAATTATGGCATTGATGATTATGACGAGACATTTTCCCCTGTTGTGCGATACAGTTCGATTAGATCGCATTGGCCGCACAACGAGGATTGAGAATCGATCAGAACTACTACTGGTACTAATTCTGACGTGCCATATCACGAAGCTGTAGGAAATATATGTTCAGCAATATACACTTTTGGCGTAATTCAAAAATTCATTTTGGAAATGTAAAGTTTTGATAATGTCTCCATCACGAAACTCCTAGACGTAAAATAAGGCCATGAATGTCACATTCATGCATAAGTAGATTTTTGGTAAAAAAATTCGAGTTTTAGGGGCCTATTCTTTACCGCGTACCGATGTCGTTACACAGCCGTTATCGTTCGGCAACGACTTTCTCTGTTCTGTAAGACATAACACAGATACATACTGAATATAGCTATCGTTCAAGATCAAATCGTTACCATTACGATATTGTTTGTTAACGACAATATATAGAACAGACACGGGGCGATTTTACCGGGCACGATAATATATTGATTGTAATTTGAAAATGCTAAGAACCAGAGAGTAGTGGAAATATTTGAATTTTACAGATGGAAAGGCAACTTGTTATGCTCAACCGTACGGAGTAGATGCGTGATCAATCCGAGCGGCCCACAACCTTTGCGGAAACAATTTAGAAATGAAACGCGCGGTAATTAGACATACTTTAAATAAAATATGGTCATTAACCCATTCAAAAACATTTAATGTGTTTCATGCACCTAGTTTTGTGAATTTGAATGGTAAGGTTTTCCACTTACGCTTGCATAGCACGTGGCAGTCAAATAATGGGAATGGAAGTGACTCTGGTAGCTTCACCGGTAAAAAAGCCAAAAAAGTGAAAGAAATATTAAAGGCGTGGTTGGACATGTTTCATTCATGTCATATTTCGGAACCAAAACAATCGATTGAGCATATAATTGCGCATACTCTTGGAAGTCGAAGTGTAAGTTTAAAACAAAGCAGATAGTAAGTAAAATAAAAAACAGAAAAATGGTCTTTTGAAGTAAATATTCATAAATTTTATTATTGCCCTTTTTTGCTTTATTTTTAAGTCAGCCAATGACCGATGTACCAATCCACTACATCTGTAGCCAAGTCAAATTATGTTATACATTTTTATTAAATTTAATTTAAAACCTTACTATTTAATTAATTAATTACGGTACGCTGATCAGATATAGTTGTTGGAGGTATTAAGGCACTTGTTGTCTTCGTAAAACCGTTGCTGCACATATTTCTAGAAATATATTAATTAATATGGTGAAGTACTCTTTGATAGTACAACACAATTTTATTGTATCATATGCTTTCAGATTTCATCAGTTTACAAGTTTAATAACAAAGTATTATCTTTACGAGAAATTCAGCAAATCAATGAACTTTGCCAGCAAAGATTGAAAAGGTAACTCCATTTTTTGGTAATTTGTAGTAAAATCTCTTGAAGTTAAGCGATATTCGCAGTACCTACTGAAGACGCGGTATATTTATTTTTAGATTACCAATACAATACATCATACAAGAATGGGATTTTCGTGGATTAACTTTAAAAATGTCTCCTCCCGTATTTATACCTCGACCTGAAACAGAAATGCTTGTCGATGTCGTTCTAAACGAAGTTGAACGCAAAGCGACCGATAGTGTTCTGGAATTTTGCTGCGGAAGTGGTGCCATTTCCATATCGCTTCTAAAATCGCAACCTCAAGTAACTTGCCGTATTTAAAATTTGGGAAATATAAATCTGGAATTTTAGTTAAATGTTACAGCTATAGATAAGTCGAAGGAAGCATGTGGACTAACTGAACTAAATGCCAAACTACACGATGTCTCCAGCAGGCTGAAAGTCATTCACGAAGAAATAACTGAAGATCACCCGGATGCCATTTTGAAGAAATATGACGTAATCGTTAGCAATCCGCCATATCTATTTGAAGATGACATGATCAGCCTTCAGCCTGAGATCAAACTGTAATTAAACAACTTAGCTTAGCACTGTACCTAACAATGTTCGTTTCAGGTATGAAGATCTTGAAGCTTTAGACGGTGGAATTGATGGATTAAAAGTGATAAAGAATATCTTAAGAGTTAGTTCGGGATTGCTCAATTGTGACGGGCGAGTATTCCTGGAAGTTGATCCAAGACATCCAGATCTAATACGATCTTGGCTACGACAATATCCAGCTATGAAGTTACACTTGGAGAGGGTTTATAAAGACTTTTGTGACAAAGATAGGTTTGTGGAGATTGTGAAAAAATAAAAGAACGCTTTCGGATATGATTATTATTGTTTGGAACGGATTTTAAATCAAACCCTAAATTGTAATGATCTTAGGGGTCTCCCAATTCGGCACTGAAATCTTGACTTCCATATACTTACTATTCTTGTCTAATATATACTAGGTCGGTTCCGAGGTCGGTTCATTTATGTATACGCACGTGAGACCTAATGGGGAAGGGAATTGAATAAAACGTAAAATTTTGTTCGCAAGAATAAAGGACAAGCACAAATAAATAATTATATTATAATATTAGGCACACAATAGGTGATACCTAGAGGAAGTTATGAAGGAAGCGTGATAAATAAGCGAAGGGTGCGTGTATTTTATCTGTGGGGAAAGGAACGGCATGAAAATGGAATAAATTATAAAGAAAGTTTGAAGGATGCTTAATAAAAATTTAGTACGTATCTATCGGGTATGAGGGAAAGAAACATGAAAGCAATACGTTGTTTGTAGAAAGTCTGAGGCACGCTCGAAAAATGCGAGAGTAGTTGGGCCACAACTAGTCGTGACAGAAAAAGACGAAATGGTACAGCCATGGAAGAAAAGGATGCTCAATTAAAGGGGCGCGTAGGAGACAAGTAGGGACCAAGAATGATAAAAGATGTAGGGAAAGGGGTCGCGCAGAAATGAAGGAGTGAGCGAGACGTGAAAAATAGGGAATGGTAATCTGGAGGCGTAAAGGGAGAGAGAAAAAGCTTTAATGTTGGCGTAAGTAGCCGCGAAGAACGTTTTGTAATTTTATGATTTACTTGAACTTCTTTTCAATGAAGAACTTGAAAAATATTTTCAGAAATGCCCTCCAAGTATAAACTTTTATCTGTACATAGAAAAACAATTTTCAATATTTCCGAAAAGTAAGGGAAAAACGTTAAACTTAACGGTGAGCATTTCCTCTATGTCTTTTTTTTTACTGTACCTGCTTTTCTGTTCACTGTTTTTTTCAATAAACGGATATTATTATTATTATATTATTATTAAAAGACTTGATACGAAAAAAGACAAAACTGGCTAAAACCGAAAAACTCAAACCTCGTTGGATTTCCAATGGATTCCAATTTTCAAACGCATTTTAAGCAAGTTTTTCGTAAACGATTTACAAAAAGCTCAGCACTTATTACTGAATTTTTGCAACAAAATCCAAGCGAAAATCAAAGAACACTAGCATAACAAATTTACATTTAAGGATGTATATAGTTTCAAGATTCTAAAAAAGAGGCGGATGAGTTTGGAGTGGGTATATCCTCCGACGGAGATACGAGACTTTTAAAGGCCATGCAGACTGATTCCGCCCTTGGAAAACGTGAAATAGCATTGACGATGAGGACTCGCCCTCAGAACCACGTAATTGAGAAATGTTTGGGAAATTCATCGCATTAGTTAAGCTATTAATAGGAAATAAAAAAGTAGGACGAGTTAAAAGGAAATAAAGGGATTTTTTCAAGAAAAGGTGTTTGGTGTACAAATTTTCGCTAGCGGTTTATCCCTCGGTCGGTGCTGCTGATTGATGTTAAATTTTGAAAACTTTTCCTTTTCCTGACTTTTTGAATTTGAATCACTTTTCGACCGCGTACACTTTGTTATTGGTACAATATTCAAAGTTCTTATTAATTAAGCACATGCATTACAAGTAGGGGGCATGTAAAAACGAATATTTTTCTTTATATTATTTTGCTTGAATTAAGTTAAAATAGTGCACATTTTTAAAAACTAGCGTTTATATATTTCTATGTTCCGAAATTAAACAGAACAAAATAGAAACTTTTAAAAAATGCGGTGCATGCGAATTTTATTTTCTTTTATGAAAAAAGACACACGCAAATTAAAAAAATTTTATGATCATTTTTGATTAGTGTTTAATTGACCATAATTAATATAAAGATCTCGACCGCGAGATATGATTTTAATCAGATATTAAAACTAGTAGACATTACAAAAAATCTTCCACGAAGTGGTAGATCGGCAAACTGGTTGCGAGAAGTATTTTACTGGGGGCTATCATTTATAGATTTTGACCACAGGTATATAACATATAGATCTTGTTGCATAGGTGTGTGTAATCAAGAAAGGCGTCTACTGGCTACTGGTTATGTAAGGATACCTTTATGCAGACAAATCACATATTTTATGCTTCCGAATTTTAAAATGGAGCTCTTTATGGGCTCGCTCTTGTCGGTGGAATTTGTATCCTATACAGCGGCGACAGAATGAAAAAAAATTAATAAATTTGTTCTCATTCGACCTTCATATGTAAGATTGGATTTTTTGGTAGGTACCTATATAATTTGTATTGAGCTTGCGTACGAAAAGAGCATGATGGCAAAAGCATTCGACGCTTTGCAGATAAGGATAACTGCTAGAATATGTTTTCTGTAGAGGAATAATAACAATTTTTGTGCAAGAAAATGATTGGCTAATTAAAATAATAACGTAGATCTCCAAGTGCCGTTTGGCATACTTCAAGACCGTATCAAAAGAAGTCACCCCATTAAAACAAGGTTATACATTCTAGTCGACTTTTAAAACTGTTAATGGCGCAATCACTTCATAAAACACGTCGCAATTATTCACTTGAAAAAATTCTTATAATCCAGATTCTAATTTTAAACGGCGCAAGGCATCATTACAGCTATAAGGAGGAGTTTGTACATCATTGACCACACGCAAGCTCCAAGCTATACGAAGCGAAAGTAATATTTCCAAAGACTAAATCTCGACGGAAAATCGTTTCCGGCCAAAATTTCATGATTTTACGCCAATCAGATTTATTCTCGGTTAATTTAATTTGCATTTATCATTCTGAAATCTGTGCGAAAATGAGAAAGCTTGTAAATTATAATTGCGGCGACATATATCTGGAACGAATTTCCCTATAAAAGTAAGAGTGTGGCATTTCAGTCTACCGTGAAGAATAGTTTGAAATAATTTCTAAGATACAAAAGGGCCGCCGTAAGTAAAAACTCGCGCTCATTGCAAATACCGTGTCGGCGGCGGTGTCTTTGTTAATTATTATGGAACTTGCAGAAGGTGGAATGCAAATACATTAAATTTAGTGCCGAAGAATATAAATTTCGACTATAACGCTCAAATTCTTTACCTTCTCCCCTTTTATTTATATATAGGTGTGTTTATGTTCTTTTCTTATTGGACTGCGCTATTATGTTTCTTCGTTTTGTAGTCGCATGTAAAAAGCTAGAAATTTCTTGTGAAAATTACGTGTAATAAACGTCTGGTAAATTAAATCTTGCTGTGCAGAAAAACCTGCCAGTGTCATTTCAATAGTGGACTTTTTATTCGTGAACCCTGATGCATTTGATAGAACAAATATGCCACTACCGCGAAGTTATATCAATCCTCAACATCTCTACTTAGAATTGTTATAAATAAGCAGCCTCCCACTTGCGGAACATCCTTTGAAAACACACCATTAGCTACCATTACACATTTCTAAACGGGCTAAATGAGGAATGGAAGACCGGGTGGTCAGCCTACCGAGACTGCACTATTTTACACACAAAAATCAGAGCCACCGTTACACACCAAAGGATTCTATAAAAGATACCGAAAAGAACTCCCTATGATTCGCCTCAGGAAGATTCGCCACTGGACGATTCACTCCCGTAAGGGTTGCCGCCGTAATATTCGCTCCGTAAAATTTACCCCTGAAAGCATCTTCGGGAAATTCGTCCCCATAAAAAACGCGTGACAAATATTCATATAACTGGCTTCAAGAAAACTTCTGAATTTTCGACTCCACGAAAAATTGCCCTCTTGCCCCCCCGTATAAAAATTTACGTTTTGGGCGAAAAACTGAAAATGAAAATTATTTTCCTACCTTAAACGGTGCTAACGGGAACCGTCAATTCCCGACCCGTCATTATCAGTTTTTCGGCGACATCTTAGTCATTTTCAAAGATTTTTCAAAAATTTCAAATGCGTTTTTATAGTCACAAAAAGGAGCAAGCTAGTTTGCCTCAGTAGAAGAATATTAGTCGGTGGCGAATTTTGTACCAGCGATTATACAGAGGGCAAAAGATTATGGAACCGAAATAAATGCTAGAGGGAAGGGATTATCCAAGAGCGAAATTCTGTATAATGTCAATACAGTTTATCTACCATAATAGTATGTTAGAGGACCACAGGTTGAATTTCACTGGTTGCTTTTGGTTTTCTACCTCATTCTGAAAACAAAACTTCCGGAGGTGAATCTTTCGGGGGCAATTTTTTAGAGATGAATCTTCAGGGAAGAAATTTGTAGGTGTCAATCTCCCGAGTGCGACTTTTTAGTGGCGAATCTTCCAGGAGAATTTTTCGAGGGCGAATATACCGTGGGGTGACTTTCTTAGGACTCATGGTTGAATTTCCCGGGACGAATATTCGTACAATCATTTAAAATATTATAGTGGAAGAGGCTGGTCGTGGTTCTTTTGTTGTCTTGTTTTTTCAAAAGATTAATTCATTATACATTCGTTGTTTGTATGCCCTTTCCGATATTTTAATTTTTGGACAATTCTACAAAAGAAATTCGTCTCGGTTATGCAGGTTCAGTTCAATAAATAATCCCCCGAAGCTGATGTAATGATACGCCTTTCTTATTTCTTATGGACGCCATGCTAGATTTTTACGGAATGAGATCGAGGAGAAAACAAGAAAAAAAATGGCGTGTCACACACTATACTTTTACATACATTTACAAAAAAAATCGAATGTTTTACATTCTTTACATTCTTCCTGAATCAACACTGCTATGATGCCGATGTGTTCAAACGAATTTCTTTTTTTTTCTGTACCTCATTCAATAATAATCTAGAGGGCTTCCATAAGAAATAACAAAGTAGCAGCCTGTAGCACATCTAGCGTGTTATGGAAATTCTGATAACAGATTCAGATTGTCCGAAAAAAGTACCCATAGGAGGTGCCAACGGGAACCGTCCATTTCCGATCATTTAAAAGCTAAGGAAAATGAAAACGAAATTTGACATTTGCAGTTTTTCGGTGATATCTCAGTTATTTTCAAAGAT